AAAAAAAATTCTTTCTCTCATTTTTCTCTGTAAAATTTTCAACTGATATCATATATTTTGGTTCATTAATATCAAAACAATAGGGAGTCGTCGCAGTACTGACTAAAGCAAGTCGATCTACTGCTGTGAATACGATTCGTAGACGATTCTCCGCCTCAAATACCCATCAAACCAGTATTTATGGGTATACTGTGTTGAACTATTCGAATATTCTGAGCTGAGTTGACAGGGTGTCTCTGTTGTTGAATTGAATAAAATTGCTACTCAGCAAGAGAATGCAACTGAAATGCTGCAAAGCTGATTGTGAGTACTAAAAAGCAATCGTAACATCAAGCGAGTGTATTCAAATGGCTTGTTGATGAATTTGAACTTATTCCTGTTTTTCGACAATTTCAATGAAATGGTCTTATGACTGAATACGATTCACAGCTGCGTAATGTTTTGTGTGATGGGTACCATGATAATAAAGGTTTTATGATGATGTATCATACAAATAGAGACCGATATTTTTGTGAATGAAGAGTGTGCCTGGAATGCCATTTTTAAATGGCGCACTTTCTTGTTTGCGTTTGCATTCACATTTGATTTGTTCATATTTAGTTGATGACAGCGAGATTTTCTCATAAACACCGAAAAAAGTTTAGTGAACTGTTGTCGAAAGATCACTGTGAATGTTGACGACGACAACGAGTTAGTTGATGAAAGCAATTCATTATTTGCTAGGTGCTTGATGGGTGCGAAAGAGTTTTTGGTGGGGAAGTGAGTTGCTGAAAGCGGATGAGAAGAGCAACAAGATGAATCAGGTAAAAATTTTGCGCACAAAAACTCAGTTGCCAGATGAAATCATTAATGACCGATTAACTGTCATCATTTAACGAGATTAATTCTTTGTTAGCTGAGCAAAATTAAAGGATATCTAAATTCTAGTTGTTTGGGTGTGTGTTTGTGCGTTTTTTTTTTGTTCATCTTGAGAGGGGAGTGGTGGAAATTAGATTATTTTCTTGTGATGCATTCCTTAGTTGCATTCTATGCAGCGAACTTTTATCGAAGCAATCAACCAATTTCAATGGGAATGAAGGATTTCAGTGAATATCAATGCATTCATCTAAATTTCGGTTCGTCTTAATTGAAAATGATTGATTGAATTAGCCACAATGAGGTTGAGTTTTTCTTCTCGTTTCAGAAAACACTCAAAATTATTTCATACCTTCCAAAACGATTCAAATATTTGTTCTTGTCGACTGAATTTTGATTTTTGAGAATCAAACTGGACAGGTGAACAACGCACGGTTTGTGGTCTGAAAATTCATGTGTTATGATTTGCGTTTGTGCAGTCTTCGAATTAGAATGAATGTCAGCGATCAATGATCAAGGAGTCAGTGAATATGCAAAAAGAAGTCAATAAATGTGTTTTCATGAGGGCTTATAAATTAATTCGCTCGACTGAGCCTTTGTTTTTCCGTATAGGATAGCTGCATTCATACGTCACGCAGTATTTTGACGTTTGAAAACTCTGAGGGTGCTTTTGTGACCACAACACCAAGATCATAAACGCTAGGTGTGATGAGTCGAAGTCAGGAGAAGCACGAGTTGGACTGGTTTGCAGATGCTTCGGGTTAGCTGGAATCAGAACAGAAAACAACTTTTATGACCTCAAATTCGCCTGGTCTCAAATTTTTCCCCTTGCATTACTGCTAGGATCTTCGTTGAATGCACTGCGCATGTCTGTTCAAAACATCAGTGGACTCATTTTGCATTCATCTCCATCAACACAAAGAATGTACCTGCATCGGGAGCATGCGATATTTATGGTATGACATATGTTATTGCTCATATACACTGCGTCGTTATGAAATACGAAATGCTATGAGTAACGTCTAACACTGGAAAGTGATGATTAACATGTGTTTTGTTAAAAGGGGAGTGAATAACAATACATGATACTTTAAATGAGAGTAAATTGAGATATAAGGCTATTCAGATCGAGAAATGCATACATACTGACAAACATGATAGTGTTATAAAAATTATATTAAATTTTGATTTATGAGCTACGGTTTGTGATGTTTTACATGTAAGTTCACTTGTTCATTCACATAATACACATACATCTCATCATCATCAAATCGTCCAATAAACAGCAGCACAAACTTCGTCGTTATGTAATTTCATTCGCGTTCTTTTTCTTCATCGCTCGTTGCTGATTCGTTTCATTCATCCAATCCCATACATCGCCCATCCGTCATCATATGTGCAATCAAACGCCTTATCAACAATAACAATTTTAGCATCAAATCACTGAGAGACCCTTCAGTCCTTCCATCCTTGATCCATACCGTCCAGACGAACAGTTTACTATTGCTACACTCTCATAACTTCCAATCATCCCAGCTGATCGTGGTCTTATTTGAATCTCCGTTCACTTCCTGTGCAAATCATTCTTCATACCGTCTGGAATCTTTTTAGTCTTGAAAGCATCCATTCAAACCTACTTATTCGTGTAATCAATGACAATGACCGCTGTACTTGGTAAGTGAAACATGGCTTAATATACCAAAGTGAAATTTCGTCTGTAAAAATCCAACTCAGTTACTAATAGCAATTAATCAAAATAATCAAATGCATAAACCTAAAGGTGATGACATTCAAGGCTCAATTGTATTCGCTTATCCAAGCAGTGTGTGTTGATTTCGGTTGATAGTATTCATTGAGCGCATGACATCTTTAGAAAGAATGTGATTAGCTCAATGAGGGCTGAATCGCTGTGCGCAGAATCGCTCTTCTCTTAGACTTTTGATCCAGTGCCTTCGGGCAGTTTGTCGTGTTGAATAATTCGATTACTCTTGTCCAGTTTCGCATTTTTCCATCACTATGATAAGTTCGATGGCTTTTAGTCGCCATTAAGAATTCAGCACGTAACTGAGTGAATCATAAAAAATTTCGAAATTCTTTACATGAATCATACATTCACTGTTTACCAGTGAGTTGCAAGAAGAGAATTTTCTGAAGACGTTGAATTTTGTTATTGGTTGCAAACCCGCTCAATGTCATACATTTATTCGTCAAAGTCCATTGTGCGTCACTGACTGAGTAATATCGTTTGCAAGCAGAAAGATCACAAGATCACAACGAAACTTCGTAATGAATGTCTGAGAAATCACTAAATGATTTTGACAATTAATTACAATTCCATCAGTTCTTCTTTGTGGTCATTGAAAATCACTTGTATATGAATTGAATTTCTCGCTTCGTTGAGCTCATTTGGGTGGTGAACTTTACGTGATCCGACTCTTTAAAGGAACCGCTTGATTTATGTGCCTCAGCATCTACGACTATTTCTTGCATTGTTCAAATTACTCGCAAGTTCCGTGCGAACTCACTAATAGATCGTTGATAGTGATGCTCAAAATTTAAAAGGGAAAGGATAAAACCACCATTCGGATAAACAGCTGATCAGTGTTTCGTTTGATTTGCGTTAAATGTTAAAAGTCATTTTCGAAATATTAACTGTGAATTCGCTCGATTTTCATCTGTTGCACTTTCACTTCAATTCATCATCATGATAGGATTTACTCTTTTCTCAAAGTTCTCATAGAAACCATCAGCGTTCCAACGATATTCTCTTCCAGGAAAGATGTCAAAGTTCGCGGATGCGTGCGTAGTCTGCGGTGATCGCTCAACCGGATACCATTATGAGGTATCAAGTTGTAATGGATGGTAATTTTTATGCGAAAGATATATATTCATTCGTTCGTTATTTACTTACTTCCTCGAAAGTACTCTCGGCTCACATCGAATAGTTGGACAAGCATACAATGTGATTATGCTTGATTCATCTGATTTTTGATTCGTTAGAAATTTGTTTAGCATTCGTCAATAAATGCAGATTTTCTCGGATGCGATCAAAAATGAATCTTAAGTGGGTTTCTAATTCGATGTTCGATGTTTCTGATTCTTTGAGTTCAGTAAACAAGTGCACCCTCATATCAAATTCCTCCGTTGAGAGCGCTTAAAGTGCATCGAACTTTATAGAAGTGAATATTTCCATTAATAGGCATTCACTTCACAGATGTGAAGCGTGTAAATGTCGCTTTGTGAACATGAAGCTTATTCATTTTCGTACCATGTGCCTAGTGTAGTAATCGTTTTCAGTCAGATTTCATCAAGCCAATATTACAAATTGAAAACATTTTTCAGCAAAACTTTCTTCCGACGTACTATCGTATCGCGTCGCACTTATAAGTGTCACAAGAATGGTAACTGCGTCTTCAACAAAGGTTATTTTTTGCGCCAACTTTTTCAGCAACTCATCAGTTAATGTCAATGTGATCATCACTCGTTTAATCATCTAATTTATTAAGAGATCGCTCTCTTCACGTCAGCAGTTGATATTTTTCTGGATGAAAATTCTGTCATTGCTGACACTGTCATTAATAGTCCGATTGCTCTAATGATTTGTATAACAGACAATTCGTTCAATTCTTTTTTTTTTCAATTCAACCATCGTTGACTTTAAGTAGAATTGCGTTTTTGCCTGAATACAATTGATTGTGTAGTGCAGTCGATTATTGAAGTGAGATGAAGTCCCATAATTTGAAAGCATACATTAGATTTGATGGGTTCGTGCATCATGTCTAGAAAGTGCGTACTTGTTGTATGCATGGTTTCTATGGTTTACTAGATTCAGTCAAGATGTTTGATCTGTTCTCATTTCGTCGTGTTCCCGTTTGTTTCGTCGTTTTCTTATGAATTCATTCGTCTGAAGCCCAACACATGCACACACACATATATATGCACTCAGACACCCAAACAGTCCTTAATGAAACATGCTGAAAACATTTTCACAATATTAAAACGGCACTGCCATTATTTAACGTCTCAGACATTTGAGCATTTTTCTCACTCAGAGAAAAAGAGGATTTTTGAAATTCATTCAAATACATTTCTCGGAATTTGTTATTCCATTTTCCATCGTTGTTTACGATCACTTGGATTTGTACTTTAAATGAATTGAAGGGTTGATATATTCTACTGAATAACAACTGACTGACTGCACTGACTAAAAATTAGAAATTCACGTCGAAAAAAATTCACATCAACAAACGGAGCGGAAGCAATCCCATTCCAGCCACTACCTTATCTGTAGTTTAGTTTGATTAATCGAGTCAAATTGAATCCCCCCAATTCAAAAACAATATGTGAAGTTTATGAAAAAACTGTAATTTCATGCATTTGTAAGTTCATTCCTCTGAAAATCATCACATATTTCGAGTGTCTTTACCGATTCATTTGAAAGATTCTCAAATTAATTAACACTCAACGCAGTGATTATGTAATACATCAAGAAGTAATCACTTACGTTTCATCTGTTTTCGTTATTTCCACGATGAGTTTTCCACGAAAATGTTTATGTAAAAGAGACGAATGCACAAAACATCACATCGTATCAATAAGGTCGTTCACTGTAGTTTTATTGCTCTTTTATTCAAACATCTCAGAATGGTTTCACTACGACACATTACTCAACAATTCAGCAAATGAATCATTGATGAGAAAGTGGTACAATGATATTAGTTGATCAACGATCATGAATTCAGCCAAAAAAATGGCAATTTGTCTGTTGATGAGATTCTATGCATTTGCTCTGTCGAAAATGTTTGATGAATTGTTCATTTCAAACGAGCTGATTGATTACTTCTGATTGCTTTTTGCAGACATCCGATGTGCTTGTCGTGCATGTCGTTTCGCAAAATGTATAGCGGTTGGTATGAACCCAAAAGGTAATTTTGATCTGTCAATGTATCAGTTTTAGTGCTGTAACTTCGTATAAAAGTAAATCTAAGCCGGACCACACCAAAAAAGCATGACATCAGATTCAAATGTAAACAAAATATTCTACAGAAAATGAAATTTTCAGAAAGATTGTCATATTTTAACTGATATATGTGAAATTTTCGCACATCTCAAGCTTCAGTGCTCCAAAAAGTGTCACGAAATCTAGCAGCAACAATAAATTATTGTTTTCTAACTCAAACATCGTTTCAAAACCTATCCTTTCTATGGATTTTCATCGGGTGTCAAATTCAGCAATCCAGTGTAATCGCACCAGTCGTATTGCTTCACCAAGTAGTTATCCACCGCCGAGTCCACCTCAGGATCCTACAGCAGCCACTTCGTTGGCATACTCACTTTCGAACGCCACCGTAATCTGCAACGCCAATTCGGCTGTATCACTTGACGATAAAACACATCCAGCGCTTGCCGCATGTTCGAGTGCATCGAGCAGTCCGAATTCAGAGCGAAGTGCCTATAAAAGAGCTTATACAGTATCTGCACTCCTCGATCTACCGCAGTACGTTACCACACCTCTCTCAACCAAAGATAACCAAAGGTATATCTATGTACTCATTCATTCTCAATAATCTCTTGAGAGCTTGTGTTGCGTGAGTATAACTGACAGTCTGATATCTTAACTGCGAATGACTGAAAATCTGATATGTTCGGCAAAAAATATCCATCGTAATAGAGATATCTCTCTCGTTTAAACTATATTTCACCACATTATTCCGAATGCAAGCGATCAATGATCACAATTTGAATCTTGTCATGCGAATGCAAATGTAAATGGACTCCCTTGCATACGAAAATCTTGAGTGAAACATATAATCGTTGTCTTGGTGGCATGCCGAAAGAAAATCGTTTTCGGATGT